AAAAAAAAAAAAAAAAAAAAAAAAAAAAAAAAAAAAATGAAAATATGTTACCACAAAAGTATTAGTTTGAGGTCACATTAAAGGGTGAACTATAGGTTTTCAAGATAATTTATTCAAAGAAAGATAGATCTGCCTCAACTTGGCCTATTTCAACCAAATTATTTTAAACAAATGCACACACACACACACACACACACACACACACATGCAGACATAATAATTATGTTAAAGTTTTGAAATATCTTTATCTTTCGGAGCTATATTCTAAAATATTAATGGAAAAATAGTATTTATCTCAAAATAATCTAGGGGAGGATATAGGTAGATTTAAATTTAAAAGATCGACCATGAGTTGATAATTGTTAAAGCTAGACAATGGGTACGTAAAAATCATTATATTATTCTCTCTGTTTTTGTATATACTTAAAAGTTTCAATGCACAAAAACTGAAACACAAACACACATATTTACATGCTCAGGCAAATACTGTTTGGCTTAGATGATACATACGGATCCTCTACTCTCCCCAGACAGTTTAGTTTGGGCTATAATTGGCATCAATCTACAGTGTTTTAGAGCATTTAGGACCCTCAGAAATGATCTGCAGCAAATTCTTCATCTTACAGATGAAGCAGTGATTCCCTTTACCAAACTACACACTAATTAATGGCTGCAGGAGGACTAGTCATGTCTCCAAATTTCCTAATGCAGCCTCGCCAAGAATGTGAGGAAAGCAACAGCTAGTCACGCCTCATGGGGCATCCACCCCGTATTATTGCAACATTTTTCCTCTCTTGGACAATTTCTTCATTTGGTTTAGACCAAGAAAGGTTATACTGTAAAAAAAAAAAAAAAATGGTTTATTTCCCTCTCTTTTACTTGACCACGTGGCCATTTTAGTTCTAAGTGTTTGCCACTCCTCTACTTCCAAATAAAGGTACCAAAAGCTGTTATTTCAGAGATATCTCTGTAAAGCAGGGAATTGTTTGGTAAATATGTGTGCTCCTGACATATTTTGATGTAAGTTTTTAAGTGGAGGTGAAGTTCTACGTTGCTCTGACACAATCATCTGCGGTATAAGGCTTCCTCCATTTCTAATAAAGTGTCCTATGAAAGGTGAATTCCTGAAGGATGTCTGCTTTGTTTATTTGGCCCCATGGAGACTGGTTTAATCTGGAAAAACAAAGTTCAATTGTTGCTCTGAGGCAGTTCCCAAGGTTTGGCTCAATCTTGGGCCAAGCAAATTGGATGGAGGGAGGTTGGGCGTGGAATTTCTGGCTGAAGGGAACCTCCCTCTCTATGTGGTTCTCCTACCTACTTACCTGTCCATGGATGGGACAATCGGAGAAGAGAAAGAGATGTGAAGATTACCTTAGGATCAGGCTATTGCTAGACTGTTAACATTCGGATTTCTTCCTTTTGCAGATGGGTGAGTCAGGCGACGATATAGACCAAATGTTCAGCACGTTATTGGGAGAGATGGATCTTCTGACCCAGGTAAACTCCCTTTCTTAATTTCCAAATTAGAAAAAAATGGGGTTACAGAAATTGATTTTAATGTGACAAGAGGGCTGTCTTTAATAAAACAACTGGAGATTGACAATATTATATATTCCTGATGTAACTATGACCGTGGTGGGGAAAAAAATAAAGCTTTGTTCTGATTACATCCTTCTGAGTTCAGTTAATTTCATACATTGATCACACATGCATTCTGTCATGGCAATATGCATATTCATGGTGTCCAAACATTTACCAATGCAAAAATATTCCCCATGCATAACCCTCTTCAACCACCGCAACTGAGCAATTTCCCCTGTGGGTACTCTATAAGGCCAGCTAAGAAAATGGCATCATCTTAAGTAAAGATTTTTGCCAAACTTTAAGGAAATGCTACATTTCAAAGGGCTAAATAGGAGTTATTGTGGTCTACTCATTAGACTGTACGAACTTAGTCCTGTCAAAGGAGAGTGAAAGCCACTCAGCCACAGGCTGCAGGTCTGAGAAAAAAAAAAAAAACCACTGGCACCAAGACCAGATCGACTCAGAGGTCACCCCACTATTAGAGGTCACTCCAGTGGCTGCTGACCCAAGGACCACTAACCCAGGTTACAAAGTCAGGTAAGCTTTAGTGTGTCTTGCAGTGTTCTAATAAGTGTTTCTTTGATTCAGAGGGTAGTCAGCTCGCCACTATCTGCATAAGATATTGAAATAAGAATAACCCAATATTCCTAAATAAGACAGGGATCTTAAAAAGTTTTCTACAAAATAAATGAATAGTCTATGTTTTGAGAGACTATTTATTTTAGGAAAAATAAACCGATTTTAATTAGCATCTACTTTATATTCCCAATAAAATTCAAGTAAGTTTGGATTCTATGAAAGAAGGGACAAAATATGAGACAATAGGCTTGCATGAAAGGGTGCTGGTTTAAAATGTGAGTGTTAGGATAGTAACCACATTTCAGGGCCGGCCCGGTGGCGCACTGGATAGTGCGCCGCTTGGGAAGCGCGGCGGCGCTCCCGCCTGAGGGTTGGGGTCCCACGTGCAGGCCGGTTCCCGCTCACTGGGTGAGCGAGGGGCGGGAGCAACGCCGAGGGT